TATTTATCTGTAGATAGATACCCCCAAAGTTTTTTTCTTATTTAAAAGAAGACCTTAATCTGTTATTTAATGTTTAAATAAAGGTTAATTCGTTTTTCTGTTTTGCACCTCCTCCTATTAATATCTTTGTACATTCTGCACTAAACTGTTTTATTGTAGAGATCACTTATAGTATCTTCTTGATTTTTTATATTCTATATTTATACTTTCCCCCTATGAAAGTATGTACTCTTAATATTTTTAATAAATAAAACACAATAATTCAATAACGTGCTTTAACCACTAGGCGGTGCACACAAGGTACACACAGCCATAATAACTTTGTATTATTAGTGTAGGACACTTTTGTTTTCTGAAAATGTGTAGTTGTATGCATGCTTTCACATAATTTTACAGCATATTGCTATACTATTTCAGACTCAGTATTTACATTCTTACATTCAAAGAAAATCAGTAATATCTTTAAAAACTACAGTCCTTTTATATCAGCTGTGCACCGTTATGGTGTAAATATAACCTATCTGTGAATTAGATCAAATGTAAAAGTCAGCCGAATTAGTGTTGATACTGCAAGGAGACGTATTGTGTGAAGAGAAATTGAAGATGTTGTTTAATTGTTGAATATATTTATGATCCACGTCAAGTATTCAGTTTCGGCGGCATTTTCTCAGTTTTTCCAAAGGTCTTCTCATCAGGGCTCTATAAATAAAGAACTACGGCAGATCTGTAATATACAATGCAGCCGAACCGTGTATTACAATGCCGTTATGTGATGACTTTCAAAGAGAAAAGCAAGAGCGCTCGGAATTAAGTATTATTTTATTCTTTTAAAATGTTTTCCGGATTTCATATCATATAAACAAAAAATCCCAGCATGCATTGCGGCTAAAACATCCAATAAACAAGCTTAAAACCATAGCTGAGGATCTTGGGTAATCGCTCGAAATGCCTACGTCTGTTTCCGGTTATTTTTATTTTGAAATTCAGTTCCTGACGGACGCCAAAAAAGCCTGAGATTATGGAATTAAACCAATAAATAAAAGCAAGGATAATTGTGTGTTATTGGTGAGTAAATAACAGTGTGTTATTTTGAAAAGAATAACAAATTAGAAGGAACAAAAGATTTAAAAAATACAGATTTCAGTATCCTGAGGCTCTGAGCCCCATTTATTTTCCTCACAGACGGCAACAAAAGTCCGAAATTACACGATTTCAAATAAAAGCAATAACTGTGGCTTGATATTGAGTAAGAACATGCTTTTATGAACCACACAGCTTCCGGTCTTCCTCGACCCGACCGGAGAAAAAGACGTGCTGCAGGCAGTAGAAATACATTGCTTTTAAAATCGTGCTGTGCAACACGAAAAAAAGGGGCAAATCGTGTTGGTGAACACGAATCAATAGATAAAAAATCGTGTTGGTGAACACGAAATGCCGTGAGACTGGGTTGCGGTAACGGGGTCTCTTGGGCTTAACAGGTTAAAACATTGTTATTTCTTTTGATGTGAAATATTATGTATTTAATTTAAATAAAAAGCAATGCTAATTTTGTTCACAATTTGTTTAATTAATTTACCTCTTTTTTTCCCCCAAAAGAACCGATAAGCATACCGTTAAAAGACCGGACCGATAAGCGGTATCGATAAAAGTAGTAGTACCGTTAAAAGCTTAACGATAGCCATCCCTACCTCTGTATGTAGAAGAAGGCGCCTGTAATCAGCATCCATGTCCTTGCACAATAATTCAAACACCCTCAAATTCAGGGCATGGGCTTTGATGAACATGGTTAATGAACCTTATTGCATCATTCAGGACCGTGTAGAGTTCAGAGGACCTGTTCTTGCTTGTCAGAATCTTGCGGTGTATCATGCAGTGAGTTGCCTCGCATTCCGGTGCCACTTCTTTCACCCTGGCAGTGAACCCCGATAACCGGCCAGTCATCGCAGCAGCCCAATCAGTGCAGACCGCGACACAAAACGCCTTTTGCAGCATGCACCTGTATGCCCCACCAATCCAGTCTGCCTGCAATGTATTCATTAACCACTCTGAATATTTCGGAGGCGGTGGTTGAGCTTGGAAGTGAAAGACAACAGAGCAAATCTTCCTGCACCTCGTCTTGATGCACATAGCGCACATAAACTAACACAACTGCCTTATTTTCCACATCAGTGGATTCGTCCACTTGAATTGCGTACCATTGAGATGCTTTTATTCTGTCCAACAATTGCCCTTCAATATCCTCTGCAATATCATCGATCCTCCTGGCAACAGTATTGTCCGAGAGTGGAACATGTCCTACCATCCCAGCTGCTTTTTCTCCAAAAAGTTCACGGCAGATGTCTTTGGCAGCGGGCAGTATCAGCTCCTCTCCTATTGTAAAGGGCTTTTTAGCTTTGGCTATTCGGTGAGCAACCAGATATGAAGCCCTTGTTGCAGCGACGCTCGTTGATGTTGTGGACTTTAACACTTGCTTCTGCCCATCCAACTCGCGTTTTTTTCCTTTAAAAAAACTCAACTGGTTTGTCAATCAGAAAAGGATGTTTGGTTGTCAAGTCCTGTTGAAGTTTTGATGGCTTCATTGCTTCATTACAAAGCATTTCGGCACACACAACACACCATTTTTTTATCTTTTTGGTAGCATTTTCGGGTTGTGCCTCACCATCTCTTTTATTGGAATAGCCCGCAAAGAAGCGGTTCATGGAAGTTTACTGAGGTCCACTCATCTCTGCACCTGCGCTCACCTCTACACTCACTGACACCAGCACCCTGACACTGACAGCGCTGTCCAGTCCGGTCGGGTGCTTGTGTCCGGAATAGTTCGCTTGACAGATCATTAGTTCCGGCGGAACTGATCCGTCAAGCGATCACAGGGCTTCCGAATCCGTGCATGGTTCGTTTTTTGGTTTTTCCGTTTCACAACCGAATAAGAAAAACTAAAAAACAGTTCTGTTTTTTAGTTTTTCTGTTTTAAAACCAAAACGTAAAAACAAAGTTATTCTGTTTTTAAACCAACACGGGAAAACAGATAAAGCAACGCTTTGGTTTTGTTTGTATGGTTTATGAATAATCCAGAGAATGCTGCGAAAACGAGGAGAAGGAGATTAAACTTCTTTTGGGAACACCCACATATACCTATGGAGTTGGCCAGATGTGTGTAAATTACTGTTCATGGTCAGTTGAAAACAAATGCCGTTGTTGGACACACACAAACACACCGAACATACACACACACAGCGGAACTGAGCAGAGCACATACACACACACACACACATCATGCGCCTTTGTGACCGGACATTTCCTTCAACGACGACTGCAGAGGGATGTAGATTCGGCTGTTTTTTCCCCATAATGACCGCCTCGCTGCACATTATCCCTTGCATACACTTTGGAAATAAACATTCTGGTCACCTCAACATCAAGGATCTTATCAATTAAACTCCTTCTGAATCAAACCGTCACAGTAGCATACTGATCCCTCGTAAAATAGAAAAAAACATGTTACTTTACCAGCAGAGAGAAAATGGATTATTAAATTATTAATATGACTAATAAAGAGCAGTTTGATTATTAAGTATTATTCTGTTGATGGATGTCATTACATTTGGTGAAAAGCACATAATGACTTGTTTAAGACTCGGTTTATCAAAGTTTAGGACTTGGACTTGACTTGAACTTGCCCATCCTGACTTGAGACTTGACTCGGACTTGAGCGTAAAGACTTGAGACTTAATTGTGACTTGAGTGCAAAGACTTAGTCCCACCTCTGGTATCAAGTGCTGTGTGCCTTTGAGCAAGCCCTGCGTTGTAATATGACATATGTTTTGAGTTTGTGTATAAGTTTGCTTACATTTTGGTAGAGCCCCCCTGGAGAAAAATGCACCAGCCGCCACTGCCTGTGCCCCATTATCATCATCTCCCTGTGTATTTAGTTCGTCTTTGTACCTCCGAGTCAAGCGTTCGAGCGCTTTTTATTCCCAGTGTTTAGTGTTTGTGTACCTGCTTTGCCTACTTCTCGTGTGTTGTGGTTGCCTGTCTGAGTGATCCGGCATGTACCGACGTTTTGCAAAAACGACTGCCTTTGTCTCTGAGAGCTGTTGAGTCTGTTGCCTGTGTTCACTGCAGTCATTACATAACTGTTACAAAATCCAATTTACCCCGGGCATATATACAATTTTCAGATTCTGATTAAACTATATGTTGGATGTATTTCTTCTTCATCTGAAAATCTCCTTCCAGCCTATCAATTCCTGTCAATATCTTGTTGCAAATGTTCCTGAACAAGTAGATAGATTTGTGAGAGAAACAAACCGCACACTAATGGACTAAGCCCAGTAGGACTCAACATGTATTTCTGTTTGTGCAGTGAGTGGTTTGTACCCTGTGCTGTCATCAGCCACCAGAGGGCAGAAGTGCAACAGTAATCTGTGAACTTTTGGGTGGGAGAACAGGTAATAACCCAGACACAACATTCTCCCACATCCCTCTAGGAGGCGCTACATAAAACTAATCCAGAGCAATGACAGTCAAGTTTCACAAAGACAGCAAGCTAACAGTGTCAGTAACACTCTTTCTTCATACAACGAACATCTCTGTACCTGTACATTTTATATATTATACCTTAAATACACGTTTCAACATGTAAATATCATCTTTGTTTAAAAAAAAGAGCTTGCTTTATAAACTGTATTGTCCATCTACCTCATTGGTTAACTCTGTTGTGGGGTCAACTGCTTGTTTGTTTAGCGTCCGAGAAGATAACTTCTCATACTTCTCAATGGGCCCTTTGCTGAATGATCCAATTATTTGTATGCAGTTCAATTGAATAATCACTTTACACAATTTTTTTGTATTGTTCCTGTAACTGTCAAGTCATCAAATGCAACTGTATATTTAAATCAGTAAGCTGGACCAATGACAAAAAAGCTCTTTCTTTTCTTTAATGGTTTTGAAATGTCATTAGAAGTAAAACAGTTCTTATGCAATACAAATACAGGAAAATCCAAATTTTTATCCAAGACAAATGAAATTTGCAGATGACCGACAGTGAGCATGCTAAACGAGGCCAGCCCGAAACCCATTCCAACACTTTACACATATTCTCACAGAATTGACATCTTTATTGTTTGATTAAAGTTGTCAAAAATGGGTAAAGGATTTTGCAGTTAAAAAGTACTTAATATTATGTCATATAATATCCAAAAAGTGATTAGACAAACGCTTGTAAGATTTCATTATAATTCTAATAAAACTACAAAAATAAGTTCAGTAACTAAGTCTGTTATTATTATAACTTTCCATCTTATTATCACATCTTACATTAAGTCTACGTGGTGCTACAGATTCATGTTATAGGATTGGTTATTTAGCGTTTTTCTCATTAATGTGTATTGCAATGCAACATTGTTAGAGTAGTAAAAAAAGAATGCCCTTTAGCTAAACTAAAGTATTTATTATGTATTGGCTCATTATGTAATATGACAAATCAAAGAAAACACTTTGAAATAACTACTCCTGTATTTCTTGAAGAATTGTTCCGTCCATCTCCCTTGTTGGGTTAAGTGTACATGGAAATGTACATCCACTGAAAATACAGAACAGACATGTTTTGCTATAATGAATCATTATGAAGTAAATGTTGATTGTTGGCTGCATTATCAGAATTAAAATCAGAATTAGAAAACAATTTATTTATTGACATTTACATTTATATAAGTCAGAATGTGTAATAAAAAGACAAAATAGAGTAAATATATTCATATAAACCTGAGTAGTAAAATCCAATAAAAGACTAAATAAAATGGAATACAAATGTAAGAATAATGACACCATCAGCATTTCACTTGGTTTCTTCACTACATTTGGGGTATTAACAAAAGTTGGTCTATTGCCACTTTTAATAACATTATGTCCATTTTTATCCGAGACAAATATGTATTTCTTCTGTCTTCTAGTCTATCCCAAAAATGGTGGTATGTAAAACAATCTTAAATGACCTTCTAAAAGAAGAATACATTTCATTACCTCCGACTCCTGAAGAGTGATGGCTTGTCCCCCAGACAATTGTTTAAAGATTTCTGTTGAGTAATACACGCTTCGTAAATCAATTGTCATAAGTCATATGTATTCTAAATATTTCTTCATCAACATGTTTAGAAAGCAAGAATGGATGTCTCCGGTACTTACTGTACATGCATTCGAAGCGGAGGATGAGACTGATGAAGCTCTCCAGAGTCAGGTGTCCAGTGGAGGCTCCGTAGCGCAGCGCCATCAAACTCAGCATGTCATCCTTGACATTAATGCCTGTTCAACATACACACAGCAAGATGTAGAAGGAGTTTTGGCATTTAGTTATTTTGAGGATATTCAACCCAGTCTCATAAAAAAACGTGTAATAACTACGTTGGTCCACAACGTAGGACGTAGTATTTCTACAAAAACGCCTCTGAAATGGTAAGATCCCTACGTCTTTTTTCACCATTCATTCCAATGGCTGGCGTCTATGTCACGTGATCTTCACATTTCTCCCTGCAGAAAAAAAAAACATGGCCGAACTTACTCTCGGTGTAAAATGCCTATTTTAAAGTTAGTTTGGCCATTAAAATGCGTTTTGATGTCATTTGATGCGAGAAATATGAGTTGTTATTTCAGATTATGTGTGCAGTGGATGTACATGATCTTTAGTTTGCTAGTTATTACGAAGATTACCTCAGGAAATTGTGTCGATACAACGTTTTCATTGTTACCAAGGTGGTTGCTAGGGACGCTACTATCGATATTGTTTCTGTTATGTTGTGTAACAGTTTAATGGTGTAATCTTTATTGCTACCCCCTTCCCCGTCAATGTATAGTGTTGGTCCACAGCGCAAACGTATTAGTTTAACAAAATCCGCATCTAAAGATACGTTATTTTCCCCTGTGCAATTCCAGTCTCACATCTCACATCACATCGTCATAAACAAATACCGGAAACAGACCGAAAACACTTTATTCCGAGTGTGCTTGCTTTTCTCTTTGAAAGTCATCACATAACGGCATTGTAATACACGGTTTGGCTGCATTACATATTACATATCTGCCGTAGTTCTCTATTTATAGAGCCTTGATGAGAAGACTTCTAGACAAACATGAGGAACTGCCGCCAACACTGAAAACGTGACATGGATCATAAATATATCAGGAATTAAAAACATCTTACATTTCTTTTCACACAATACGTCTCCTTGCAGTATCAACACTAATCCGGCTGACTTTTATATTTGATCCAATTGGTAGATAGGCTGTATTTACACCATAAAGGTGCACAGCTGATATAAAGGGACACCTAGTGGTTAAAGCATGTTATTGAATTTCATTATTTGTATTATTAGATATTAATAGGATCCCTATAAAGTATATTCATTACTCGTTATTCTCTACTAATAGATAATTAAAGACTGTATATAATGACTATTTTGCACATCCCTTTCAAGATTTCAAGATTTTCTAAGGTTTATTGACATATCATATTCACAAACGGTGTAGTTATGCAATGAATGAAAAACTTTGTGTATACCTCCAGCAATGTTAACTATGTTGAAGCCCTTATTTTAACTGATATTATACATATGTATTATACTCTTATAAGATGTATGTAGATAGTATAAAAAATGTGCAGAATACGACAGTTTAATGGTGGAGGTATACACACATATTGATAGATGTCACTGTTGAGGAACATGCGACCAAAGTTTTTCATCTCCGGCCTTGTCAGGTATTGAACAATCAATAAATAAAGAACACAGAATTATTAAATATAAAACACAGAATTTGTGTGATTATAGTAAATGATTTACAAATAAACACCACTGCCTATTTACAACTGTTACACATGCTGATGTAATGCAAATGTTTCCAACTTGGGATCAATAAAGTATATCTTATCTTAAGATGATCGATGGCTACTGCCATATTTGAAAAATGTGCCTCTGAACCTTGACAAGTGCATGTTTCAGGCTCATCAATTAACAACAGGAGGGGTCACAAACATAAGACCAGCTGTTAAATAAAGCTCTTCTGACCTTAGCTGGCATGTGGGTATATATATTAATGCTGCCCATTATGGGCACAAGCAATTTTCACCCATTTATTAATTATATGTTTTAAATTTGAGTGTTCCTATCCCCTAAACCTCCAGGGATGTACACAGTTTAATACTGCCAACTTCTTATTATGGGAAATATGAAAACGTCTTTTAAAACTACAACTCCCAGTAGAGACGTACCATAGATAGAGAACATGTTGCGAAACACAATAGCCAGCATGTGTAGTTCTGGGGACGGGGTGGGGGAGGGGGGGACGCGGTGGACCCGTTCAAATCCAGTTTTGGACAGTCTGCCGTGGGTCCATCCCATTTCAAGTGCTGTGGTCGACGCTCGGCGTAACCCTCGGAGCACACTCTCCAATCACAGAGCTTGAGGACTATCACGGGGTTTGTCAAGCGAAGCGGAGAGAATACTTACTTCCCGGGGTAATATTCTCTAAAGCAAATTAGCTGCTCCGACCCTCAGTCCTGACGGACTCCAACGTGTGTTTATTAATCAAACAAATAAATAAACACAAGGATAATTATGTGTTATTGTTGAGTAAATGGAGAATTGCACAGGGGAAAATAACGTATCTATGCCACAATTTTAGATGCGGATTTTGTTAAACTAATACGTTTAGGCTGTGGACCAACACTATACATTGACGGGGAAGGGGGTAGCAATAAAGATAACACCATTAAACAGTTACACAACATAACAGAAATAATATCGATAGCAGCATCCCTAGCAACCACCTTGGTGACAATGAAAACGTTGTATAGACACAATTTCCTGAAGTAATCTTCGTAATAACTAGCAAACTAAAGATCATGTACATCCACTGCACACATAATCTGAAATAATAACTCATATTTCTCGCATCAAATGACATCAAAACGCATTTTAATGGCCAAACTAACTTTAAAATAGGCATTTTACACCGAGAATTAAACGAAGTTCGCCCATGTTTTTTTTTTCTGCAGGGAGAAATGTGAAGATCACGTGACATAGACGCCAGCCATTGGAATGAATGGTGAAAAAAACGTAGGGATCTTACAATTTCAGAGAAGTTTTTGTAGAAATACTACGTCCTACGTTGTGGACCAACGTAGTTATTACACGTTTTTTTGTGAGACTGGGTTGGGATATTACATGTTTTGCACAAGCCACATTTTCACTTGCACTACTTGACCACACTGAATAAATTGAAACGTTGACTTTAATTAAATATGGAAAATAAAAACCATTAGGTTCAAGATGATATTATTGCTTCCAACTGACCTAATACAATTATGTGGAACCCGTTGATGTAATACATTTAATTAAAGTCAACTTTTACTTTGAACAGGTTTGCCCTTGTTTGTATCATTTATTTTGTCTTTTCCCAGCAATTCTTTCAAGAAATAGCAATTATGATTGAAAAACATACACTCCTGCACACTGCCCTTTTTTCATGCTTTAATATTAATGTTTCTGTAGAGACTTTTAACCGATTATTTATCATTAATAACAGAGGAAGGTCTGTCTATCGAATGAATTTTCGAATTTAAGCTTTGTACCTAAAGCTAGGAAAGCGTTCCTCAGCTCGTTCATTGACAGTGTTCCAGTTCGTGAAACGTCAGTGCGGAAGAAAATGTCCTGGTAAAAGAAGAAAGCACCATCAATGATCATCCCATATCTGTATTTAAATGTCCTACGGTAGAATAAAGAGACTACTATATAGCAATTCCAAAATATATTATACCATTTTTTTTTACAACACTCCTTTTACCTTGTACATGAGGACCTTCTTCCACAGACGAACAAATTCCTCCCCATTCAGTTTGCCGGTGATTGATGTCTAAACAAACAGTAAAGGTCACCTACAGTATCATGCCATTTTTAGGCATTAGCATAGGTCTCAGATATATAAAAATGTATAAAAAACATGTCTATGAAGGGGGCGGGGCTTATGCCTGTTCATGCGGGACCCGGAAGATAAAATAAATGCTGCGGTGATGAAATGCCAAAACCACATCCAGGATAATTTCTGAAACAGTATTGAGCTCAAAGGCTTTCTCTCTTGCAGGTTTACCACAAGGTGAGTTCCTTTATATTTCCTGCTTCTTCACACATGCAGGGGCGGATCTAGACAAATATTCATGGGGTGGCAAGAGGGTGGCAGGAGAATTTCAGGGGTGGCATCCCCTGCTGATTTAATCACAGTCATATCAATCAATGTTGACGTGGAAAGCCACAATATTAATATTTTAACTCAATAACATTAGGTGACATTATTGTGGCACATCAGTAAAGCCTTACATAGAAATATATAAGGTGGCAGACATCATTTAGTGAATTTTAACTGAACAATAACTGAATGAGTTTGTTTCACTCTTAGACCAGCAGGGGTACCAAATCTATGCAGACTGCTGCAATAAGTACAATAATTAACTGTCTCATCGATGTTTGTCTGAATTAATATGATACTATTAACAATCATATTACTCCTATCAGCTGTCAATCACTGTTATGATTCACATATTCATTTATTATTGAATAAACTATATTTTTTGGAGGAGTTAATGATGAATGTTCCTCAAGATGCTTGCTCACCCTCCTTCAAATTTGAAAGACAAGTAATTATATCATGTATCAAAATTCAAAATATTCAAAGGAACAGTTCAGCGCCCCACGACTTTACTGCAAACAGTTACAACACTACAACATCAGAAAGAACAAACATTAAAGAAGTGACTAACTGCATCAGTTAGGGTTAAAAAAACAAAACGTGTATTCAGCTAAAACATACAGTACATCGCTGCAGTTATTATCCAGTGGAAATTCCTTACCTACTCGCCTAGTTATATGAAAGTGGTTACTTTTTTTTGGCTGGGCAGCGTAGTTTTACACACCGTCTTATTTGACTTTCTCAAAGAAATAAATATATACACACATACAAGGTCATCATCTTAACATGCTTTGTTATGCTCATCGAGTCATCCGTGAGCAGAGCATCAAGTTGGTATGCCTATAACAGCTGAATGAGGCGATTACCATTTTGTTCAGCAAAACGCCTCACAAACTTATTAAGATCAACAGCTTTAGTGCGTTTTGATTCAATGCTGAGTACAGCCAAACTGACAGTCTCTTCTCTGTCATTGTATACCGCAAATACCTCATTCCTTCAGTACTTGGGTCCGAATGCTTCTCGTTTTGCGCCCTCCCCCTGTTCAAATGAAATAGCCACCAATCATATTTCCAAGCTCGCGCCAGGGGGGTTACAAGACTCGCCTCTTGTACTGCATTCACTTGCACTCGGACATTAGAGGTTTTCTCTCATAAATGTCCGATGAGCCACAACTTTTCTTTCAAAACATAGATGCCAACTGGGGTGACAGCTGGGGCGGCAAGGCTATTTTTTAGGGTGGCGGTTGCCACCCCGGTAGATCCACCCCTGCACACATGTGCTCTCCAGTACAGCTTAGCTCTGAGTGTTGGCATGCTTGCAAATGTAAACAAAGACCATATTACATCCAAAACACGTCGGGCATTGATTCTGATAGCGAGTTTCTAATAGGGCCGTGGGTCCACCACGTTGGTGCCATCCGATATGAGGTAAATAATATCAATGGCAAATCTGGATCAGCTCGTTGTAGCCCCGTTTTCAGAGATTTGCACACGGAGGAAAAGAGAGAGGGTTTTATTTTCTGACACTATGTGAGTTCCCTGACACGCCGGGGACACATATGTATAAAAGACATAAAAAGGTGCATTTTGCATGATAGGTCCCCTTTAAGGTATTAAGAGCTGTAGCCTATATGATGTTTCATGTTTTAGCCTTTTATTTAATATGTTTATTAGAGGTAAATAAAAAAAAGTATACATCTTTACTTTATTATTAATTTAAATTAATTTGGTATCAATACCGAAATCAACATCAATGTTATCAAATGCATCAACAGGATACATCCATCAGAGCGACCATGCTGCGACAGGCATCAATGGTAAAGCCTCCAGATTTCAAATCTCCTAAAGAAGAAGAGCATCATTAGGCATGGTTACTATGGCCTTTACTCTGCAATAGCAGTGCCCATTTCACTTTAGATAATGACCATACTGTATATTAAGACTCTTGTTTTGTTTTTTTATAAAACCTGCTCATATGATTTTACAGTTCAAACCTTTCAGCACGTTTTCATTCAGAAGCCTCTGCAGCTGCTCAGCATCCACCTCTTCGTACTGGAAATGGATGAAAGCAAGATTAAATAGACTGATGTAAACTTGTCCAAATATTTTGTAAGTGAGTATGCTGTTAGCCACAAGCTAAAAGAAAACAAGATAGACCTGTCCATACGTCCAGCTAGCGAATACTGTTACCGTATTTGGCTAACATTTGTCTTGCTGCAATCACAAAAATCAGGCTAAATCAGCAGGACATGTTAGCCTCTTAGCTAAAGGCCAAATCATTCAGTTGCTTTTGCTGCTGTGGTGCAAATTACATTATCCGCCATGTCAGCAAAAGAAGTGTTCAGTTAGCATGTGCTTTGACTACACGTATGCTGACGTTTAGTTCCACAGTCCAGTACCGTTCGTGTTGCAAGTTCCTTAAGCTGGTTTGCCAAGAAGAAGATAACAAAACGAACGATTGTTTTCAAAACAATGTCGGACAGCGTAATCTTCTCTGGTCCCCTCCCCAATCTGATCAATGACGACATGTATAGCCGCATGTCAGAAATGATCACACTCCTGTAACATGCTGCAGACTGAGGTTAGGACCGCCCACTTTATTAGCATATGGACACAGAAATACATAAATAAATAAATGTAAGTGACCGTAAATGTAGAAATATATTAAAGATATATAATAACGTGTGTTCTGTTTTATTTTGAACTTTATTTATACATTCATGTATTTATTTCCATATTTATTTATTTGTGTATTTATTTCCTCATTTATTTATTTGTGTATTTATTTCCACATTTATTTATTTCCGTATTTATTTATTTCCGTATTTATTTATTTATTCCTGTATTTCTTCATACATTTATTTACACATTTATTTATTTATACTTATGTCATGTTCCGTCCTCCATACACCTGATGAATGGACCTATGTGGACTGTTTAATCAAAACAATGAGCTGAAAAACACAAAAATGCTAAAAGGGAACTGCAGTAATCACATGTTCAAAGAATTAATCAATGACAATTCAATTTTTCAATTAGGTATTTAGCTAGGCAGTGAGAATGAAAATATTACCTTGTCGGAGTTTTGGCGGAAAAAGGATATCTTGTTCTCGTCGTCCTGTTCATTTTTGACTTGTTTGATGTTGAACTTAAATAAAGATAAAGTGCAAGAGATGAATTTTACCCCAAATGACATTTATAAAAAGTTATAGTTAAGGACATAGAATCAGAATAATAAACAACAATGGAATATCATTATATCTTACACACCCTTTCAGTTGGCTCATCTTGAGGGTCACCAGAGTTCTCACTGTCAGGAAATAATTAGATTTAGCAGGTTTTATTGTTTGATGTACAAAGAGAGTTGGTTAATGGTAGTAGAGAGAGGGACTTACTAGACCATGGCCTCTGCCTTGGACATGATGGTCAGGATGAAGGAGGCCTTCTCATTGGCATTGAAGGTGGACGGTACGATGAGGTACTCACCAGGCCTCAGCATCAGGAACTCCATCACCTCACGTGCATTAATGTAGGTTTTACTTTGGGCAACTGGTGCGTGGCTACTGAAGAAGGAGGCTGGGAACTTCCCCTTCTGCGCCTTGCACTGTAGTCATAAATAAAGAGGGTTAACCCTAACCCTCTTTAAATCAGTCACATGAGCTGCAAAATGTGGACGGAGGTTTAAAAAGGGAAACATTTCTTACCTTGTCTTTCACCTTGAGGGAAATCAGTAGAGTTCATGTTGGCGACAAAAAGGAATTCATTTAATATATTAGCGTCAAATGTTCAATTAAATTATTGTATTTTTCTAACAAGCATATGCATTCACACACATAGAAAGCAGACACTGCCTAAGCCTTAGATCTACCTCACTAACCAACTCTTGTGTAACCCACAAACAGGTTGTATGGACTTTTACTGTTGTCCTCAGGTTACTGTGGTTACATTTGATTTACTGTGACCCTCTGATTCCTTTGACCAGGCATGTGCACACATAGACATCAAAGTGGGCTTGAGCCCCTGCCCTTTTTCTTCCTCCAGAGAAAGTGCCTTTTTTGTATTTTTTATAAATGAATATATATCTACTGCTGTTTGCTGTGCGCAAACATTTCCAAAAATATATTGATTGAATACAAAATGAAAAGATCAGGTCGGGAGATTAGACTGTGAAGTTCCGATGCTCTCTCTCTACCCTCCCTCCATGTCTCGCGCACAGAGGTGTGGACCTCGGCAGTCCCTTCAGACAGACAGGTAGCAGCACCTCCCACTTTACCATGTATTCTTGGCTTGTTTGAAGGTGAGTGGTGATGAACAAATTACTAAACGGCCAATGCCTCAAGTTTACAGCTAATTAGCTAAAAGAAAATAACAAATATAATTAACTAAGGTAGGCTACTAGCTAATGGATAAGTTAGCTCAAGGTTTAGGCGATGTATCATGGGCATACAGGCTAATGTACTGTACTTAAGGGGAGACACAGGTGAATACAGTAAAATGTGTATCTAATTATTAGATACACATTTTTTGCATATCAATGTGGCGATTGTGATGACGTTATTATCGCCACATTGATATGCAAATTAGGCGTTAACTAGGCCTAATTAAAATGCGCTAATTTGCATGCAGTTACCAGGACATTACAGGTGAAAAGGATAAAACTAAAAAACACATCACCTCACAACTTCCCCAGATAGTTACGTACGTCAAGTCAGTATTTTCCCCTTAAATGTTATGTTTAAATGCAGATTAGCTTTAAATCTATAGATGATTTCAGACATGGTAAAACGAACACCATTTATGTGTTTCTTGGAAGTTTTCTTTCCATTAGAGTGAAAGAAAACATGGAAGCAAAATAGACCAAAATGTACAGTACATGAGAAAACGATCTTTTAGCCGTAATGTCCTTAAACAGTAACTTCATCATTTTGATTGTTGGCTGCTCATTTAATAACTATTAATTGTACTAGTTTGTTGTCTGCTCTTGTGCTTAGTGAATACTAAAGAAGACCATTGTCTCTGTGTTAGCTGATTATTTTGTAGAATTCTGTTTAGTATTAAACAATTGCGTGAGTGTGAGGGTATTAAAATAAATTGGTCAGTAAGTCAGAGATGCGCAACTATATTTAACTTTTGGTTTTAAAATATTTTTTTATAAATGATTATGGGAAGTGCTCTTTTTCTCACTTGAGCACCCGCCCCACAAAATGTCTGTGCACGTCCCTGCCTTTGACTTTCATTGAGATGTTCTATCAATTGATAAACGTTGAAAGTATTCTAAACCTGATTAAGATATTTATTCCTTTACTCATTAATTCTCTCTATGGACGCTCTATGGACTTCAGCAAGACGTTATTGTTGTTTTCACTTAATCTGACAACCTCAGCTGCCTTCCAAATCTACTGATTGTATATCCATAATAGTCCTTGTACTTTGACAACAAAAGCAAAAGGAACAACAGTATTTACCTCAAATACACAGAGACCAATGTGGAGGCTTTGAACCAGGTGTCTGTTTCTCTTGTCAGGCTTTTGCATGAGAGACACCAGCACATTTTTCTCTCCATTGTTCTCCGGACTTTGACCGCCAATGTTGACCCGATACTGTGGATTGGTCCAGTAACTGTCTGCAAGACAAAGAGAGTATTGAGAATTATTTTATTTTTATTTTTTTTGTACTTTGTTATAATTATTCATTTGAGTGAGAAAAAAAAAGGAAAAAAATAAAATATATATATATATTATTGTTGTATGTTTTTGTTTCTGACATGTTCAATACATTGACAAAAAAAAAGAAAAAAGTATGATTTATTTGCATGTATAATTTTGTAAATAGTCTGATATGTGGTTTGATATATTATCAAGATAACATTAAAACCTTTTAGAGTTTACTGATGAACAAAAAAATGGAGTAACAAGGCAAATTGAAGTTTAAATGGTCAACTATCTATTACTGAATCTACATTATCATAGCTTGTGGAAACAAAGAAATGTGAATTGTTTGGTTATTCTGTGCTTTACAAGATTCTAAGTCAAGCTTTCCCATGAAGAACAGAACATAACTCTTTATTTATCACACACAAATTGAAATGTGATCCCTGCATTTGAACCAATCTAGTAATAGGACTGGACATATATTGTACAGTGCTCAGGGAGCAGTAGGGACGGTCTGGTGCATTGCTCAAAAGGCACCACAGGGGGGTGGTTGTGCTGGATGTGTTGGGGGGCATGTCTCTTCTACCTGGGGAACCCAGAGTGTCTTGCAGCGCCACTGCCGGCGACCCTCTGATTCCCAGCCAAGCCATTATTGATTCAGGTACTGCCGCCCCAGAATGCTCCAATGCTCTTACATAAAAGTTAGGGTTGGGGCTAAGATTAAGACTAACCCTAGTCTTGTTTAGTCACTTCCTAGACAAAAGGGACATTAAAAAAAACTAAGTAGGAAAAAGGAGTGTGACCTCTGTTGTCAAATTATGTTATCTGGTGATTTGACAGGTGTCATTTCCTAGTCCTTTAAAGAGTAATCGATCACATAATATGGCACATTTTATCCAGCCTTATTCATTGTAAGTCCAGATATTCTTTAAGTACTTCTATTATTCATGCATCCTCCAGCAGTTGTTCCTGCAACCCATCGGCCATCATTCATGTAGGTCTTCCAGTGACAGGACGAGTTTCCATCAAGGTAGTCTGGACTCAGGGAGCAGATGTCCAGATCTGTGTAGAACTCACACAAGTCTTCCAGGCTCATCCTGTGGAGATTCATTTGACATGATATATTTGCCCTCTGGATATGATGCTGGAATTATGAAACCCTAACCTGACATATTTTCAATAGCTACAGATTAATTATCTTTCTTTCCAAAGTGTTTTGAAGTAGTTGCTATTGTATATTAAAATCCAGGTGCATAGAAAGGTTTCAACATTCAATTGAATTGGCTTACCAAAACTCTCCATCATCAGCCACTGAAAGGCACATTTCCCGATCTTTGGAACTCACGGTTTGCCACAGAGGAGACCTTAAAGAGGGACAATATTGTATTTCAGTTGATTCTAGACATTCAGGGGCATGTTATTACAGAAACATAATATGTCCTGGAGATTAGAACATTAGGCCTCTCCCCATGTTCTGTTTATATGCAAATACAGTGGCACAGTACAAAGCTTAGGTTTTAAATGACAGAACTACTTTATAATATCCATAACCAAATGACCGTTTCAAGTCCTTAATAGGTTTCCTATGGGAATGTACAGAAAAGGTAACATAAGTGATTTGATATAAAAATAAAAAAGGATCCTGGCTCTCACGCTTCATTCTTGAAAGACATTTTTAATCCTTCTAAATACTACCTTTAGGAATGTACCATAAAGGCCATTGCATTGCGTATATTCCAATACAGAAAAAGACCCATGGCTGCTGCCAATCTTTATTTATATTATCATATGGAAAACAATCTCAATATGTCTTCAAATAAGAGCCATGTCTCTCTGAAGTTGTTCTCACCGATCGCTCCAGTCTCTGTTCCACTCTCCTGTGCCCCAGGGGTTCCACAAACGCACCAGGTTTATTTGTTTCCCTCGGCTCATCATCTGAACAGTCATCATGGCAGACAGCACCACAATTATGTAACGTATGCTCATCAAAATGCAATAAATGATTTCAAATGATTCATGCAAAGGCAGTAAGAGCTTAAAATCCTATTTAATAGCTGTTGTTTATGTTATCTTGTGCAATGTCTTACACTGTAAAAATAAACCTGTAAAAAAACGGTAAAAAGTCTGGCAGCTGTGATTCCAAACACTTACCGTCAAATTACAGTGTACCCTAATTACAATCATTTAAAAATAGCGTAAATTCACAGTAAATATAATTAATTTCCTTTACAGAGAAACACTGTTATTTTACAGGTATCTTCCCTTATTTATTACGGACATAATTTAGAGCATGTAAATACTGTTATTTTACAGTTTTATCCTAAATTATTACGGTCAAACACCTTCAATAAAGTGACAGAACTTAAAGTTCAGCAGTGAAACACTGTTATTTTACAGGTTTATCTGCTCTTCATACAGTCAATAACCTTTAATAAAAGTACAGCACTAAAACTTCTACGGGCAAAAAACCCGTAAAAAAACGGTCAAATGACTGGCAGCAGCAGGCTGCCAAACAAAAACCATAAAATTAAAGTAAAAATACTTTAACTGAAATAAAGTGCAAAAGCAATTAATATACAGGAATTGTCCTTAAAGATTTTACAGGAAAACACTTTCCTCTCTTTTCAAAATCCATTGTCTTAAAATGTTACATTCAAATACCTTAAATAAAGTTCTGATGAGAAAAACAGTTTTTTACATTTTTTTTTTTATTAGATTTGTATGATCAAACACTAAAATAAATACAGAACTTAAAGTTCTACAGGGAGAATACTGTTATTTTACAGCTTTTTTCTAACATTTTCCAATCGAACAGGTTCAACAAAATGACATCACAAAATGTTCTGTAGGAAACAATTACTCTGAAAACTTAAAATATAAAAATATTTGTAGAATTATAGTACAACTAATGAATACAGCATTTCATATTTAAACATCTACTTATAAACAGTATAAACAAAAAGTAAGTTTAATTTTTTAAGATTACTTTGAAACATTCTCAACTGAAAATAACAGGAATTACAAAATGGTTCACATTGTCAATTTGTAGGAGCAGTGTGCAGGATTTAGTAAGTCTAACATTGTAGGTTCCAACCAATGGATAACTTGTTCACTCACCCTCCTATCCCAAGTTTGTAGGAGAATGTATGTTGGCTGCAAAAAACTTGAGGCCCAATCATGTTTCCTCTGTCCATTCTGCGCTACTGTAGACGTGGCAGTGCAACCTAGAGGACAAAAATATCAGAATCAGAAACAGGTTTATTGCCAGGTAGGTTCACACGTATCAGGAATTTGACTAGGTGTCGTGGTGCATACAAATAAAAAAATAAAATAAAAAAAGTACTATATTAAGAACACTAATACAAATATAGTAAGATAGCAATACAATAAAGCAGAATGCAATAAATTATAGAATATAAAATATGTGCAGTAAGCAATATTTAAACATTGCATTATTTACCATCCTGTGATCTCCATTATGTAATGCATAGAGTCTGCGTTGTGGCTGAGGTAAAGTGTCAGTGGGGGGGGGCGGGCCTTGTTGAGGTGGCGAGAGGTTTTTGCGGCTCCAGACAAAAAAATGTTTTGGAAAAAGGAGCAAAATGGCTCTTTTGGTCAAAAAGGTTGCAGACCCCTGGTATAGGCAGATGTATCAGGGGCGTGGCCTTTTTAGAATAACCAGGAAATACACATTTCGATCGCTTCTTCTGTCGTTTACATAGATCTGTTGGTATATTTGGCTCCATAGGAACACTTTGATGCACATTCAGTATCAGTGTGTGAGATTGTAGTTGCGATGCCGATATGCGGACGCGTACAGCGAGGACTACAAAAAGACACATGAGGTGACTGTCACTGGGGATGTGTGTTCAAAACATTGCAAGCTTGAATAAATCATTAAAACCATTTATTTTTGCCAGACTTATTACTGAATATCATTCTTAATGTGATACCAAGTCCATCTGAGACCGGTGTATACCTTCAGACAGCCTACAAGGGAACCACACGTTGTTTACTCACAGTTTGAAAGCAGCGTGGAGAAGTCTTCAGCTGTGGAGCTGTGATCCGCCCAGGATAAACTGTGATACGACTTATGTGGCTTGTTCTTGTTGTCAGTCTTATATTTGTATCATGTATCGTTATTAATATGATGTTGATTTGATTTGAGACCCGTTTATACTTTCATACCGTCTGTTAGTGAAACATACAGTCTGTCTGAGTTGTTTACACCCATCTCCAACGCAGCGTGGAGAGCTGTGGTAAACAGTGATCCGCTCAGATTAAACTGTGATACGACTTCTGTGGCTATCAACCAGCGATCATGTTTAAACCCCAAGGTCCCCGTCGGCAGGGACCCTGTTTTTTTTTTCACGACACTGTGTCTCAGGGGATCTTAATATTTAAGAACCTATTAATGTGTTATACCAGATTAACGGCAATAATCTCAGCTAACTGACGATACAAACCATTGTTACCAAAACAAAACACAAGTCTCATAAGAAGCATCTAAATGACCCCTTAGCGAAAAATGCTAACGGACATTGGCACAGAACTCAAGATAAAAGTACCCTTATTACTTATCGTAGCTACACATACAAGATATCCGATTAAAGCTGAGGTTCCACAGATTATTTAGATATAGTATCATCACTGAGTGATCCGAACTCGCGACAGGGGAAGCAAACACAGACATCACAACACGTACCTTTACGGAGCTTCTAGGAAGATCGTCTCACCGTAGCTGTCAATCTGATCAAAAGACGTGTTCAATGGCATTAAAACGAGAAAAAACGCGACTAAATCGGTTAATCCATAGGTTTTTAACGTCTCTGTATAAAAAATTGTTTTCATTTATAATCCATAATTCCATTTTTATGTAAAAATCGCAGAGCAAAAGTTAGCTGCTAATGGTAGCTACCAGAGTGGCTGCTGCTTCCGTTCTTGGCCATGCAGCAGTCTAATACACACATTACCAAATAAGGACTAGGTGGGAGTTCCCCTCGATTCCATTGGCTTTTACGGTCAGAAAGAGATGTCACATGTCAAAATCCAGCAAGGGGGGCCAGAGATATGGAAAATCCACCCAAATGGCCCCAGAAGAGGTTTTTTTGTGCTAAATCTGTCTTAAAAAGGTCAAATATCACTTGTTTTGCATCAATCTTGATACAGGGTACTTATTATATGTTGTACTTTGGATTCCTAAAGCTTTTAGTCTACTAACCCATCATCCAAGGTTAGTTTTCACTATAAGTACAAAATATTTCTTGGACGGACACTATAATTTACAGTTTTTTACCATGTTCTATCTGAATTTTCTTTAAAATAAAAAACATTTATATTTATTCTGACTTTTCTACATCCAACTCACAGGTTTATCATTACTTTGAGAAAAAATATTATTAATTGAACCCTTTTAGAAGGGAAGATATGGTCATTTGTTCTGGGAATGTCATTTTCGAGCCTGAAACCTGAAAAACAGGCTCGGGGTTTAGACTACAAACATGTATCCCTTATCAAAACGGTATTCTGCACATTGCCGCACTTATCCAGATCAAATTTGACTGTTTACTCGTTTTGCAAAGATAGAAGCAGAAATGTCATTGCTACATTTGCAGGGATATTTAGAATTTAAAATGCTGCTTGATCGTTAATTTTGTTCTCGGCAAACAATATTATGAATCCTCTATTCAAAAATATTATTCAGTGTCCATCGACATGAAAATAACAAAAAAGTTCATGCTGGACTCAAACCCGAGTCCCAATAGTAAAAATCCCTCGTGCCATGCGCGTTATGAGTGAGCCACGGATCAATACGATGTATAATATCATCACAGGTTATTTTCTCACATTAACATTGTTAAAAGAGTCAGAGCAATTCAACCCGACCATCTTTTATAATGTGAGCGAATGTATGTACACTTTAAGCCATATAATATAAATATTATAGTAGGCATTTGCTTTGAAATAGTATACTGACTGAGCATCATTAAGACCCACCGAGATCAGATATCCTAGTTCATCAGCCTGCGAGCCTACATTACGTTGTGATAAGTGGTCATTTTACGTATTATTCTAGAACACACTAAGTTCACATATGCAAATCAGGCCATGTGTTTCGTTATGTAGTAGCTATAATCATCACCTGTCATGGAAATACAACAATAACAAGGAATTAATATTAATATTACCAAGTTACACAGAAATAGATAAAACACATGAGAACAAAGACCACATAGATAAACGCATAAACGTTAAGTTAGAAACGAAAACATGTTAACAACAGTGTGAAAAAGTATGAATGTGTTTCTAGTTCTCAACGTAGCCTATGTGTGAGTACCCTCGTCATTCGGTGTCGCTGTATCGAAATGTAACCAAGTAAACAGTCACATCTTATCTGGATAAGTGCGGCAAAGTGGAGAATACCGTTTTGATAAGGGATCAATGTGTGTAGTCTTTAATATTAAAGATGATCGCTGGTTGATAACCACAGAACTCATATCACAGTTTAATCTGAGCGGATCACTGTTTACCACAGCTCTCCACGCTGCGTGTAAACAACTCAGACAGACTGTATGTTTCACTAACAGACGGTATGAAAGTATAAACGGGTCTCAAATCAACTCGACATCATATTAATAACGATACATGATACACATATAAGACTGACAACAAGAACAAGCCACAGAAGTCGTATCACAGTTTATCCTGGGCGGAGCTCTCCACAGCTGAAGACTTCTCCACGCTGCTTTCAAACTGTGAGTAAACAACGTGTGCTTCCCTTGTAGGCTGTCTGAAGGTATACACCGGTCTCAGATTGACTTGGTATCACATTAAGAATGATATTCAGTAATAAGTCTGGCAAAAATAAATGGTTTAAATGATTTATTCAAGCTTGCAATGTTTTGAACACACATCCCCAGTCACCTCGTGTGTTT